ATCCGTGCTACATCAGATGGGAACACTTATAAGCCCCATATTTTTCGAGCTAGGTACTTGTGAGGTAGGTGCTATTAGGAGAATTTTACAGATGTAGAAAATAAGCTTCCTCAATGAAAGTACTGACTCCTCAGAAGCTACACAACTATCAAGGAACAAAGCTGAGAGCAAAGGAGGCTGCAATGCTTGGTAAGAAATGTGTGCATTATCCTGCCCATGTAATTGTAACCCCTCTGTACAGTATGTTCACAAATAAAATAAAATTAAAAAAAAAGCTGAGGGCAAGCTCTCCGACTCCCAAATGCATGGTTTCTCCAATTTTTGAGCTTTCTGAATCTTTTTACAAGGAAGCCTTGGATTTGATCATTGGCAGACTAGAAGGTGGTCTAAGGATGTAAAAGGATATTTCCAACACCCAGAATATGACTGTACATGTTTGACTCAATGTGTTTTCGGAACACTCTTGAGGCTTCAATTGAAAATGGACCATATACTCTAAGAGAAAATTGAACTATACACCAGATTGATTCTTAAAAAGTAGCTACTCAAGCCTGGTGCTGGTAATGGTAGCCTGAAATCCTAGCCACTCAGGGGGCTGAGATCTAATGATCTTGGTTCAAAGCCAGCCCAGGCAAGAAAGCTTATGAGACTTATATCCAATTCACACACACACACATTCAAAAGCCACTCATGCAGCCAAGATTACATGTGTGTGGTATGCAGTGTATACACTGAACACAACATGCAGGTTATTCTTGTGCCTTAAGAGGATGTGAGACAGTTCATAGGGCTATGATGAACAATTAGTGACCACTGGCAGAGAGAAGCAAGAATCTACTTGTGTTCCTGATAAAGCCAAGCGACATGTTCCCAAGGAAGGTGAAGGGGACTGCTCACTGATGGATTCATCTCTCAGAGGCAATGAATGCAGGAGAGAAAGCAGCCTGTGACTCTGTGCCTTATCTAGAATGAGTTTGGGACACTAGGCCTGCTCTCGTATCACCCACAGCCATCAGGGCTCTGCTCAGACAGCATTCCTTACCCAACACACAAAGAATTCTTAACATGTTTCTCTTTCATGGTGAGTCATGCTGTAGCTATTTAGCTTGATGTCTGTTACCACTGAAGACAAGAGGCAACTCAGTTTATGATAAAAGTGAGATGTAAATGCTAACGTGGCAAGAACATCATACAAGACTCCAAAAGTACTTCTGACCCTGCTGTTTACGTGCAGCTTTACCATTCCACGTCTATTTCCTCCTTTTTAAAACAGTGCAACCCACTCATCTTAGTTTAGATGTCTGTTACTAGCATAGGTAACTTAGGAAAGTATAGAATTACTACTGATGAAACATCATAAAAGGCCAAAGCAGGTTCCTTTTGGTACTGTACACATCGTTACTGTACACATCGTTACAATTTTTTTCTAATGGTTTTCAAGTTGCTGTTTCAAATTAAGTTTTCCAGAAGAGTTTAAATTACCATAGGAACCAGAAGCAGACTGCTCTTAATACACAAGGCAAAAGGAATTATTTTTGAATCTTAAAGTGTGTGTGTGTGTGTGTGTGTATGCCCGTCTTAGGGCTTGAAATCAGAACCTGGGTGCTTTTCCCCCAGCTTTTTTGCTCAAAGGGTAACACTCTACCAGCTGCACTTCCAGCTTTTTTGGTGGTTAATCAGAGATAAGAGTCTCACAGACTTTCCTGCTCAAGCTGGCTTCAATTCTCCTGTCCCAGCCTCCTTAGTAGCTTTGACAGGCATAAGCCACCAGTGCCCAGCTTAAGAGCAGCTTTTATACATGGCCCATACTATGTGCTGATCTAAGTGATTTAAACAGATGCACTTATTTACAGTTCACTATGCAAAGAGATACTTTTATTATCCTCATTTCCAGATGAAGACCCTGATCACAGGTGGTAGACGGTTGTCAACATCTGAATCCAAAGAGCATGGTTCCAAAAAATCTTAAATTTTTAGCTTGGTACTGGCATAAAAGCAGGCATGAAGTCCAACGGAATAGATTAGAAGACCCAGAAACAAACCTATATACTTACAGTCAACTCATACTTGACAAGGAGGGCAAAACTATATATTGGAAAAAAAAAAGATTGCCTCTTCAATAACTGGTGTTGGTAAAACTGCCATGGTAGAAAAATAAAATTGGGTCCCTGTTTGTTACTTTGCACCAATATCCACTCAGAATGGACAAAGACCTCCAAGTTTCAGACCTGAAACTTTGAAACTACTACAAGATGGAGTAGGAGAAACACTAGAACTTATCAACATAGGCAGAAACTTTCTGAAGGTGGCTTAGTGGTAGAGAAAAAGCTGTGGCTCAAGTGGTAAAGTGTGAGCCCTGAGTAAAAGCAGCTCAGGGACAGTGCCCAGGCCCTGAGTTCAGGCCCACGACTGGCCACAAACAAACAAAATATATGGACCTTATGAAACTCCCCTCCCAAATTAATAATCCAATCAATAAAGGGGCAAAGAAGCTATATAGAGCCATCTCAGAAGAATGTGCAAGAAATGCTTGAGGAAAATGCTCAACATCCCTGGTCATAAAGGAAATAAATGAACTGAGGTTTCATCTTACCTCAGTAAGATGGGCGAGTATGGAGAATTCCAACAATAAAAAACCCTGGAGGTGCTGTAGGGAAAAAGGAACCCTATTACACCATTAATGGGATTGTAAACTAGTATAACCACTCTGGAAGGTGGTTTGGAAGTTCCTCAGAAAACTAAGCATAGATCTTCCTTTCAACTCAGCCATATCACCCCTGGGGATATTGCAAGCCAGATATCATAAAGACACTTACAGCTATGTTCACTAAAGAACTAGTGACAATAACCAAGTTATGGAAACAGCCCAGATGTCCTATAGTAGATGAGCAGATCAAGAAATTGTGGGGCATATACACAATGTAATTTTACTGATCCATAAGAATGAATAGTATTATTTGCAGGGAAATGGGTGGACCAGGAACAAATAACGGTAAGTGAAGCCATCCAGGCTCAAGGTGACAAATGGCCCATGCTTTCTCTCATTATGTGTAAGTTAGATGTAAAATACAACTAGGCATGGTAATACACTCAGGGCTCTATGCATTTATACCCAAACTCCTCAAAACAACTAGTTTGTCAAAACCAATACCTGGAAGTGGAAACATGTTTTAGGGGAGGTGCAAAGTGGGGGCACTGGAATGGAGGAAAGGAGAACAAATGCAGCCAATGTTCATGTACACTATGTAAAATAATGTACGATGTAACTTGTGAGTAACAATGAGAGGCATAAAATTGGGAGGGGGCAACAAAGGAAGGGATAACATTGACCAAGAAGGTCTATGACTTGATTCATCTCCTACATTCTTCACTCTAAAATGAATACTTTTGCCAATGAAACTATCATTTTATGACTATTTCTGTTCATTTCCCTGGAGACAAGGTCCCTCTATGTGGTCCAGGCTGGCCATAAACTTGTAATCTTCCTGCTTCAGACTTACCTGCATTTGACACTAGTAGTTATTCTTGTTCATTTGGAAATAAAAGGGTAAGCCAGGGTGCTGGTGGCTCATGCCTGTAATCCTAGCTACTCAGGAGACTGAGATCAGAGGACTGCGGTTCAAAGCCAGTCTGGGCAGAAAAGTCCCTGTGAGAATCCTATCTTCACTTAACCACTCAAAAACCTGAAATGGTGCTGTGGCCCAAGTGGTAGAGTGCTAGCCTTGAGCACAAAGAGGCTTAATGACAGTGCCTGGGCTCTGAGTTCATGCCCCATAACCAACAAAAAAGAAAAAAAAAACAAAATAAAGAAAATAAGGTGAAGAAGTGATATAGGTCTATTACTACTCATTCAACTTTATGTTGTTATATATTCACTTTGCCTGTGTATGAGGTGTTGGAGAATCAACACAGAGCCATGTGCGTGCCAGGAAAGCATTCTACTATTGAGCTACATTCTCAGCCCCTGCTCTTTGTTTTCTTTTTCCTTTTTCTTTTCTTTTCTTTTTTTTTTTTTTTGAGACAAGGTCTTGTTATGTAGCTGGCCTCAAACTTTTGAACCATTTCCTAATTGCTGGGATTATAGGCATACACCATGATGCCTGGCAACATATCTAAACTTGGCATTTAAGACTTAAATAACAGTTACTTTGTCAATATAGTACTTTATGATTCTGAAAAATGTAAACTCAAAACAAAAATATTGCAGGCAGCATCTGAAAATGCTCAACAATGTTAATATTTCATGACTATGTCAGTGATGATACAGAATTTTGCTCTTCATGTACAGAAGTACAGGTATATCTTTTAAGCCACTCCTGATATAGCTAAGTGTTACTTACCTAGGATCAGCTTTGGTAAATGGTAAGTTTTAGAGCTTGAAATAGTTTATATTTCTTTTCAAGAATACTTAAGGATTTTTTCAGCAGATTCTTAAGTATTAAAGTCAGTTCCTAAATCTTGAAAGCTGTCTTTGAATGTAATCTTCATAGTCTTTACATTTTAACTGTCATTATTTATTGTTTTGGCTACATTCTCTACAATTTCAGCAGCATCTTAAAGAGACAATGTGTCTATGTACAATGAAAAAAACAAAATGGCTTGCAACATGAGAAATAAAAGCCACAGTTTGTACAATATTAAGGGAATCTGTGGTAGGTATAGCCTCCGTTTTCTGCAACATGGACAGCTTACACATGTATTAGCATCATGAATGTGACAATAAAGAAAGTCTTTACAGGAGTGAAATAACAACATCCTGAAAAATATTGGTTCTACCATACAAAGCAATTAGAAAATGTTCACATTTTAACTAATCTGTACAAACCACAAGAAACTTGTTTATGGGACCATCATCCCACCTTGATGATAAGAACCTTCTAGAAATGTAGAATAACCACGAACAATTTATAAATCTAATATCTATGTGCTCCACAGCCCTAGAACCGAAGAAACTGATTTGAAGAACTCAGTATGCCCAACACGGATCACTTTTACATGCCTTGATTGTTAATGAATGCTTGCTTTAATGTCTCTCTATGATGTACAGTCAACTTGCACCTTCAAGGAGGTCATTTGATTTTCAGCAAAGAAGCAACATCATTTAGCAGCAATTAAAGCGCCTTCAAGAAGACTTAAAAAAAATACAATATCCAATTTAAAAAGCCATATTTTTAAACATTTGTACAAGAATAAGCTGCTGAAACTTAGTAATTGAAACAGGACATCTGTACAATAATTTACAATAAGAGCTAGAAGGGAATTTATCATTATCCTGCATAGAACTGGACTGCTTTTGGTCACATATTGTCTCATTTTAATGAACAAGGCCTGGTAACAAAATAAAATGTTAACAATTCTAACAGGTTGAAAGCACACTGGAGATATTATAATTTAGTGAATTCAACTGATCTCAAAATAAGCAGCTCTTTGTGTCAAAAGTATGAAGTATCTAGGAATAACAGCTCTTTCTTTTATATAACCAGTGGAAAAAAAAATGGACAAATGATTTCGAGGTACAACTTGGTAAGCCAGAATAGGCCAATGACAAAGCCCACCTTTGTCTAAAGATTCTAACTCCCACATTCTATTATTAGAAAATACAACGGTCACTGTCATTCAGTTCTTACTTTGGTTTCAGCAGATTAACTGCCAAATGCTGAAGATGTATCCAGGCACTGTAGTTCTTGTGTTAGAAATAGGTCTCTTATTTTTCCATGTTTGTTTTTAAATAATGAAAAACTACCCTTCATATTAGAACTCTCTAGTAACAATCAAATATATTTAAGTATTATAAACGTTATTTACAGTGTTCCCCTAAATAAACAAACAAATAAGCTCCGCATTTTTTTCTATCTATCTCAACATGGCACTCCTGTTTCTGCATAACAGGCAGCCATCCTTCACTGCTCAAGGTCAGAGTAAGAAGTGTGCATTATTCACCATCCATGATCCACTCTCATACAAATGATGCTACAAAGAACTTCAGTTCACACACAGTTCTTATCCATGTCCTTTTTTTAAAAAAAAGAAAACAATAAAACACTCAAATGCTCTCAAACTCAAGAATGCATCTGGAAAAAATTCAAAGATATCATGCCAATCTTGGAGGCAAGTCAGAAAGTAATTATGCTTGAAGAAGGGGGTGTAGGGGATGCTGTCAGCCCAGCCATGTGTAGGTTTCCTGAAGAATTCGATCTTCTCATGTGTGGGAGAAGGTATGGGTCATTTGCCAGTTGGTGCACATCAAATCGATCTTCTTTTCGATATGCCAAACAGCGTCTAATAAAGGCCTTAAAAAAAAAAGGAAATTCTTGTGTCAATTTAAACTCTCCACTCACAATTTGTAGTGCCACATTATAGTCTAAATTATTATTACTACCCTTTGAATTTACTGCTGGAAACTTGTATTTTTGCTTACAAAATTCTTAAGGCTTTTTGTTCTATTTTTCTTTTGCTAAACAATACATTTACCACATTCCATTTTATTATCAATTTAGTTTGCCTAAATTATAAGCCATTTTTAGTCATAGTACATTTTTCTACTGAGCATAAGGACTTTGCTTAAGTAGAAAAACACTAAAGTGACCCTTCCTTTAAGGTTTCTGTTTGGTCAGTTCTGTGCATCATTACAGTTTTGGAAAAACTAAACTATGGAAGATAGTCACTATTTTCCCCACTGTTAATTATTTGAAAATAGTTTCTTACAAAGAAAGTTCATGGACTCAAGTATATTTTTAGAAAAACACTCAAGTTACAAGTGTATAATACAAGATGAATACATTTATGTAACCAACAACCAGATCACGAAAAAGAGCTTGATCACACCTGAGCCCCATAGACCCCTTCCTACTTTCCAGGTACTGGCTCAGGCCACAAGCGAAGCAGGGTTACCTCTTTTACCATGACTGTTACTATAACCGAGTTTTCTTTTCATTTGCTCTGAACTTTTTGTTAATAGAATTACAGAAGGATGTTATCTTTTGATGGGCTTCTTTCACTCAATGTTGTATTTGTGAAAGTCATTACTCTGGCAACAGATAAAATGTTCTCAAGTGATAACTGGTAAAAAATTATGTCCCCATTTAATGGTGCCACCAGAAATATTAGTTTCATTTTGAAATTTCTAACTGCTTCATAAATTCACAAGTTAAAAGATGTACAGGGAAAAATGCAATGAAGATATCATTAAATAAATGTTTCATCACCACAGCAAGGTGATGATCACCACAGCATTTGTACCTATCTTTACTTTTTTTTTTTTTTTTTGAGGTCCGGTCATGCGGCCTGAACTCGGCCTGGGCGCTGTCCCTCAGCTCTTCAGCTCAAGGCTAGCGCTCTACCACTTGAGCCACAGCGCCACTTCCGGCTTTTTTCTTTTTGCTTATGTG